ATTTTGCTTACATTTGATGGAGCACACATATAATTCGACTGTAGGTTTGCTAGACCCATTGAGTGGTATTCATGTCCTGAGTTTACATGTAAAACTGATCAATGTAAGTGCTTTGAACAAAATTGAAAAAGAAATCTGTCTCATCAGGCAGCTTGATGTTGCAAATTTTGTTATGAATTGTAAATGGTGTGGCATATGAGGCAGCATCATTCATTGCCCCATTGATTCATATAATGAGTATTAATCAAGGCTACACTCCAGGCACAGTGCCTACAACAGAGCCTTCAAGTAAACTTGGCAAACAGTCCACCATCGTTGTTCATAATAAACAAAAGAACTGAAGAGTGACCATGAGAGGATGAAATAGGATGTTACGGAGGAAACTCTAAACATGTAATCTGCAAAAATCAATCAAGGGGGCGCCTTGAGAGAGGGCGATCAGTGGCCTATTGAACTGGACCAAACGGCGAATCGCGCTGTGAGCTAGAGCAATGCTTCTCAACCAGGGGTGATCTGTGCTTCAGAGAACATTTGACAGTATCTGCAGACTTTCTTGAGTGTTAGAATTTCGGAGGAGGTCACTACTGACATCTAGTGGATAAACTCTAGTGAAGTTGCTAAGCAACTCCACTGCACAAGAGAACCTCCAAGCACAAAGGATTTCTAGCCGAAAGTTTTGAAGCTGAAAAGGCCCCAAGCTAACAGGACAGCAATGGGGCTGCACAAAAATAAATTAACAGTCTACTATGGAGATAAGACCAATAGCAGATGAAAATAAAGTGAATAGGGTGCAAAACATAAGGAAGAAGTCAAGGAGAACACGACAGTTTTCTGATTTTAACAGCTGGATGGAAGGTAGTGCGCTAGTTGAAATGCTTCTGAGGCTTGAGTCAGTTTAAAATGACCATCAGAGTTGGCTGCATTAATCTGGAGTTTGCAACAAGATCTGAACAAAAGACAAACTTTGGGAGTCCTTACGTTAAAACTAATATTTAGGAGCATGGAAGCGTATGACATCATTTGGCAAAAAATAGAGAGATAAAGATGTAGCCCAGAAATCAGGATTTGAACCTAAATCAGCTACTCATTCCCAGCAGGTTCTAAAAGCCACTTGATCTTTCGCTTTCAGTCCCTTAGGTAACATATAAGTGCACTCAAAGACACTCACCACATTGTGAAAGCAGTTACAACATTCAGGTTCTCAAGTTTACTCTAAGCTATTTTCCTTTGTACCTAATTATCTTAGAAAAAATTAAGTAATTTTCAATGGATTAATATCTCAGCAGTGCCACTGGCTCTGATGGGAGCACAGCGTTACATGAGATTATGCTGGTTTGTTATTAGCTACAGTGTATCCATTTACGATGGAGATTTGGGGAATGGGGAAAAAAGACAGCATGCCTTGTTCAATTGAACATTTTCATTCTTAAGAGGCATTATGAAAAATTGTGAATCAAGAGTGATTGCCATAGCTATTCCATGCCAAAAATATCTGGATGCATAGATGCACAAAACACAGTCTTTCCAAAAAGCACAAAACAAATTAACAGCAGCTGCTGATCACTCATGAGTAACTCAATACCATACGCTTGTGTACATGAGCAATGGAGGGAAGCATTTTAACAGGGAAATAAATCTTTGTCTTAAGCCTTACAGGATTCTAAAGATGGAACAGAGCAGTAACTATGTTGCCATTCATTGTTTAAAGAAATTTGTTTCAGGAAATAGAGTTTCTCTAATATCTCCCCTAATCCTACTGAGCCATTTACCCTTATACCAAGGGTAACACAGATAAAAAGTAGTAGATTTCTTCCAATTATATTGGACTAATTAGGCTTACTTATTATTGCTGAGTTATTATTTAGTCTAATGACAATCACTTTACTTGCCAATGATGGCAGACACATTTACTCAAGTAAACACACACGCACCGGTGTGATATGTCCCTAGGATGCACTTTGTATATGTATAGTCGCTCACTGAATCCTCCTATGGCCCTATCGTGTTATTATCGCTTTCATTTTATAAAATAATAGCAAATCCTGGAAGGTTTATCAGTAAAGAGTATGTAATATTACAGTGATAAACACCTCAGAATTATAATATATGCTACTAATGGATCAATTGATGTAAACTGAAGTTGTCTTGTTGTACAAGTTGATTCGGGGATCTAGGCTGTTTCCATCTCGTCAGAATCGCTCTGGCAGCAGGGAGAACTGGGAGATCATACAGAGCCTTTTCTCTGACTTCCTTTTCACCTGAACTGGTCTATTTCATGCTATTCACATTTTATTAGGTATAAATAGTAACTGATTTCCTCCTAATTCAAAAGTTACAGGTTTCATGTACCAGGGAAGGAGAGAATGGATACAGCTAAGCACTAACCATCTAATACAGGAAGATCCTGTTACTGAATCAATGCTAAAATTTAAACTTCAGTAAAATCAGGATTAACATATTTTTAAAAACAGACTCAAATGCACTCCTTGGGTCTCAGGCTCATTTTTGGTCCTAGTTGTATACAACTAAATGAATCTTTAGGTTTAAAAACAAACTGTGGGGCCTGGCTCAATGGCTAAATCCTCACCTTGTAAGTATTGCAATCTCACTTGGGCATTGGATCAGGTCCTGGTGGTTCCACTTCCTTCCAGTTTCCTGCTTTTGGACTGGGAAAGCAATAGAATAGCCCAAAGCCATGGAACCCTACATGCACAGGGGAGACTCTGAAGCAGCCCCTGGCTTCTGGTTCCAGCCAGGCTCTTGGCTTTGGGTTGACTCAGCTCTGGCCATTGCAGATATTTGGGGAGTGAATCAACAAATGGATGATCTTTCTGCCTCTCCTCTCTGTAAGTCTGATCTCCTTTAACAGTAAAAATACAAAATAAATTAAAAAAAAAAAAACAAACACTGTGAAATACTTATGTTTGTTCTCTCTTTAAGAAGCATTTTCTGGGCCTGGCGCAGTGGCCCAGCAGCTAAAGTCCTCACCTTGAATGCTCTGGGATCTCATATGGACACCAGTTCTAATCCCGGCAGCTCCACTTCCCGTCCAGCTCCCTGCTTGTAGCCTGGAAAAGCAGTCAAGGACTGCCCAAAGCTTTGGGACCCTGTACCCACATGGGAGACCCAGAAGAAACTCCTGGCTCTGGCTTCGGATCGGGGCAGCACCGGCCGTTGCAGTCACTTGGGGTGTGAAGCATCAGAAGAAAGATCTTCCTTTCTGTCTCTCCCCCTTTCTGTATATCTGACTTTGCAATAAAAATAAATAAATCTTTAAAAAAGGAAAGAAACATTTGCCAATCATTTATGTACTATCCATTCGTTGATTATTGATATGTCACTTCTTCAAAGCCATCTCAAGCTTCCCTGCTAAGTACAGTTCTTAGTTATCTTCATGTCCACGGTAGTGTTTTGTGAAATACATCCTATTTCTTCAATGCCATGTGTTTCATGATGACAGCAGCCATATGCCTGCAAGGTCTCCACAGCTTGGCACAAAACCTCACCAGTCAGTCCCCAGTATATATACACAGAACAAACAGTGAAGCTCTCCTGTATTCCAAAGCAAGCCATGATATTGTTCAATACCACGTAGACTTAGAGATACTCCCCAAAGTGAGATGAGAATTCATTTACATTTCCCATACAGTGTTCTTACTTTTCTTATTTCTTTACCTAATAACCCAGAGGAGAGTCCCCCCCCCCCCGCCTTACACAGAGTCCCTAAAATTTCAGAAGACAAACATCACATGTCCCTAACTATTTTTAGCATCCCAACCTTTCATGCATTAGAGGTCCTACTAGGTCCATATCAATCCTTCTTATGCAAATACGTTGTTTTGTCAGATCTTTTTCTTCCAGTGCCAGTCCCAGGCACGCTACTTGTGGTATGAACTGCCTGTCTCTCTAGGGAGGGCGCTTTCCCCACTAGCGGGTCTTCAGCAAGAAGTATGATGTCTGCTAACAGGAATGAGATTCTTGGTAGGTATTTGGGAAGTGAACGATTACATTTGCAGATATGTGAAGTTTCCTTTATAATTACTTCCTACTCAAGGCTCATGCAACTGTGAGTATGCTTTTTGTTCTATGAATTGACTCAGTTTAGATCAATTCTCCAAAATCCATACTTAGAAAAAATTAGATCCGTGTGAGGTGCTAATATAGAACTAGCAAATATTTATATGGAACATCCCCACAAAGCTCAAAGGAAATTAAGTGAACATCGTCAAATCCTGATTTCCCCAGAGATGTGTCCTAGTCCTTTACAAAAAAACATAGTCTCCAAATCTACGTTGTTAAAATAGCCTGTTTCCAGCATTCAAATGTGACAGCTATAAAGGAAATTAAGAAAAGCAGCAGCAGAGGAAGCTGCCCGCCCCCCAGCCCCGGTACGTGTAAATGGATGCAATTTACAAGAGATTATCTCGGGTCCAAACAGGAAGGAATCCTCTATAATCTTAGAACACTGGAAGTCTCTCATTCCTCTCCTTGTCTTTTTCATTCTTGAGTTAAACCAGCTCCGAGATTCCCTTAAATGTTGGTGTCCAAGAAAGTGATCTGCCATAAAGTCATGTGACAAGCCTTAGTTGGCCATCCGCAAGACTCCCTAGCACGCGCCTGAGGACCCACCAACTCTCACCGCGGCCAACAGAGGCAGCCAACCTGTGCTTCCACCCAAGGGTTAGGTTTGATCTGGCTGGAAGATCCAGAGCTCAATGGACTTGGCTGAGCAGCACAATGTGAAGTTAAGGCAAAGGGAAAAGGAGCGTGCCCGTGTGCGTGCGTGCCCCTGTGTCTGGATCTGTGGGGCTAGGGCTGGCAGAGACGCTAATAAAGGGTGGAACGAGCGAGGGGAGGAGGGAAGCAGAGAATGAGAGAAACCAGAGCTTGCCTCCCGCCCCAGTTCACCTGCCCGGGAGCTCTTACTGCTTGCTAAAGCCCCTGCACCAACTCACACAGTTCCCTCTCTCCTTCTTGGTCCTCACCCACCGCTGTCTCCTCCTTCTCAGTCTGCGCCGCCGCCCACCCTCCACTTTTGCATCTGACCAGAGGACGGATGAGTGAGACGCTCCCACAAATTGAGGCAGCAACTTTGCTTTGCTGGTCTCCAGGCTCCGGCAGCAGGAGTGCCCTGCTTCACCGCGGCGTGCGGCCCATGGAGCAGGAGGAGGAACGGTGATGGGCTAGTGACAAGAGCCTGGGGTCCGAGCTAGCTCACTGTCACCAGCTGGCTCCGCGTTCCCACCCCGGTTCCCTCCCTCCAGGCCGGCGGGGTGCAGACCCGGAGTATTCAGGGAGGATGAAGAGGAGACCCGGCCCGAGTGGGGCGCATCTCTCGGGCGTGCGACAGCTGCTGTGCTCGGCATGAATTAAAAAGCCAAGAAGATGGAGCGCGGCACACTCCTCGCCCAGCCGGGGCTCTGGATCTCTGACACCAGCTGGACACTCCTCTATTTCCTCTGCTTCGTCCTCCCCCCGATCGCCCCTCAAGTACTCAGGATCGGTGAGTAAGCCCCGGCGTGCGCCCCAGGCTACCAGCGCTGGGGATTCGTTCTCCGCAGGCGGACAGCACAGGCGAGGCGGATCCCAGGCACAGCCGCGCGCGCCGGCGCAGGGGCCGGAGCCGGGGATGGTGGAGGTCAATGAGCACCGGAGACTCCACGAAAAAAGAGGGAGACGCGTCAGCGCTTCCCTCCTGGCAGGAGCCAGGCTTCCCCAGGAGATGGAGTTGGCGGGTTTTTTCAATCCGGGTTAGGGGAACACAGGCAAGAGCCCATGGACCCAGGGTCGCCCGGCAGCTGGTACCTTATTGTACGCGTGGGGTCGGCACTGCCGCACCACTTCAGCTGGGGGCGAGGATAAGATCCCCCAACTACCTTGGTGGGCGTCGGGATTTCTTTATCCGCGGCGGTGGTCCCTGGCGGCCTGCGAGCTGAGTATTCGCAAGCACACTCAGATGTCAACAGTGGAAAGACAAGACCGCTAGGAACACAGGTCTATCTTAGAGCCCGTTAGCCCTCAGCCTCCAAGTTTCCGTTCAGATGGACTCTGCGAAGTGCAGAGGGTTCCATTAGAGTAAAGGGCAGAATCTGGCTTTGAGTTCTGGCAGAAGGTTCCAGCAGAGAGAAACATGGCCAGAGAGCACTTAAATTTCCCGCTAGTTCCTCAGTTGGCCCAGCTTTACCACCACCAAGCAAGAACACCCTGGACACCCATTGGGCTTTGATCCGGGGACCTGATGAAAAAAAAAGCAGGAGGGAGAAGGTTGAATATGGGAATCCGGGGCAACCCAGAGAGCAGAAAACAAGACCAGTAAAAGAAGACATGAATATTATGAATGTTTTTGGACTGAAATTTATACACTATCTCCCCCCCCCACACACACACACACACTCAAACACCACTACCACTACCACCATGATTTGGTCTGTTGAGGCTCTGAGCAGTTTCTGGTCTCACAGTGCTCCACTACTTTCCCCCAGTCTGCACTGTGCCACAGGGAAAGCCACAGGTGAAGTTGTGGCAGCGCACGGGTCTCCTCCCACTTAGGCAGCAACCATGGAGCCCCAGCTGTGAATTCCTAATGTCCACCCTTTTCAGGAAGGGACAGCACACGCAAGGGACAGGACCTGGTACTTGTAAGCAACTGGGGTGCTCCTACTATGATTCCAGTTCTGACCCAAAGTTAGTAAGCCCCTCCACAAGATCCAGAACTTTATGGGGTTGTTTTTTGTTTTAATTTCACACTATTTTTGCAATAAATACATAAGTCAATCAATAGATGAAGTTTGCTACTTTGAGGTACCTTTTCTCTAGGTTGGTGGCATTTAGCTTTCAAGGAAAGAAAAGCTCTCAAAGGCTAATACTTCCTGCTGGCAAGCTTTCCTAGACCAAAGAAGATGACAGTGTGTTTTTCCTCGGCTAGTTGACACTCTTGGCTAAAATCATTCCACAATACTTCTTTGAAAACTTGCTTCTGCTCATAATAAAAGCATCCTTCATTTCAGAGTTGATCTAGCATTCATATCCTGCTTTGGATGTAATCAACCCCACTCATTCTCCTTTTTAAAAATCCTGATGAACAACCAAGTATGTAATGAGTATGTGTTACACATTCCAGTACTTATTATCATAACTGGAGCTTTGGTGGTGTATCATTCAGTTTGAAAGAGACAAATCTAAGAATGCTAGAGATGGCTATGCCTGGAGGTTGAGTTTTGCTTTCCTGCATTCCCCAAATCTAAAGGAAATCAAGAAAAGAGATGGAAAGGGACGTATTTGTTCAATGTTCAAATATCTGACTATTTTTTACAAGCCCTAAGCATTCTCAGTCATCCATTCAAAAGTAGTTTTCAAAGTGAAAAGAACCGACATGAATCACTGACCTTAAAATGCGTGCCACAAGATAATGAGATTTTTCTTTTCCTAAAGGGTAGCCAAAATGCATAAAGTTAAATTTCATGGTCTGGCATAGTTTATGTTCAGCAAAAGTGTCTCTCTGCTACTGGCCCTGTGTGACCTAAGATTGGCACAGGCACTGCCACCCTGTGAGTACCTAAGAAACAACATACTTTTTAAATGGGTGATTCAGCACCATGGAAACCAGCGACAGCTCAGGGAAATGTGCCTTTCTGCAGTGAGTTTGTCAGTCAAGCCCATCATTGAGTAAGAACTATCAGAGATTGAGGACTAAGCAACAATGTATGTGCATAGGATACAGAAGAAGAACAGTGTATTTCTTTTAATGCCTCTTTCCATCACACCACTAGTCATCTAGCCAACTAGCGGAAAGGGGATCTTAATACTGAACACTCAAGCTTTTCGGCAATTTAGAATATTTTGGAGTAAATGACAGCACTTATATCCATCACTTAATACTATTGTTCTTCTACAGACAAGCACTTAAATGCCTGAGTGGATTAATCAGTGTAGAATCTACACTTCTGGAAGGGGGCATGCTTCAACTTTTGAGGAAAAGTATGAAATTCCAGCTAAAATTCATTCAAACCAAATATGTGAGAGGCCACTGACTACGCACATGCGTGTGTTTCCAGGATATGTTATTTTTATCCTTGGAGACTTTATAATCCTACTAGAAGTTAGAACACACAAAAGAGAACGGTGGACTACGGTTGCGCTAAGCACTACTGCACAGGTGAAAGTTCTCATCAGCCTGCAGACTATAGTCCTGCATACTCTGTGATACCACTGGGGTCATTTCCTTTGTCTTTCTGTGGATGCCAGTGTATGCCAGCATCATTAACTTTGTCACACATTTGTTCTGTGTAACTTGCAAGCATAGTGTTCACCTCAAAGAATCAACCAGCTTGTAAGTAATGGTCACATCATGATCTAGGTCTCCAAAGTAGAAAAGAAAATTACTATGTAAACTCTGGAATCAGGTGATCGTATTTCTAGGAATAATAGCAGAGGTGTGGTATTGACAAAGCTCATTTGTGTGCATTCAGTCAACATGCAGCATCATAGAGGTGATGATAAAAGCATACCCATTCCATACCACAAACTGTGTGGTGGGTAACAGCACTTTCTGACCTGTGACTTGGCATGAGCAAGCATGAATTTGAGTCTGAACTCTGTGATCTGCTAGATTCATGCTTCAGAGTTCACTAAATCTCACTATGGTTCTGTTTCTGCTTCTGAGAAATTTAATTAGAACTATGCTAGACTTTATCACTCCATTGGCAAGAGTACAGGAAGCTGTATGATATGAAAGATTATTGAATACCTGGATATATTTTCATTGTTGTTGTTGTTTTGGTTTTATTTTTGGATTTTATTATTGACATTTTCTTTCTGAACAAGGAGTAACGATTCAAAGTGTGTATTTCTGTTAAGGCATATTGTATTTCCCTGGCTGATGCTTTTTATCAGAATAAATGGTACTGATATATGCTTTTTTCTATTTTGACAGGGGAAGATAAAATACACTAATTTTTGTAGTTAGTAAACAAACCATTAAATGGATGTAGTAAATTGCTATTGTGTGATTAATTATTCCATATAAGCAGAAACACTCTGGAAAAACATCACAGTATGAAATGTTACACTGACAACATAATTGTTCAAATACCTTTATTTCTCTTTGAGACACTCAAATCTTTTTATGTCAGTCACTACTTTGACTATAAAATCGATCCTGAATATTTGAGTCCAGAGAACCCCAAGATTCCAATTAATGTGTATAATTGCTCATTTTTTGCCCTCGGTATATAAAACCTCAACTTCAGTCTTCATTCTTTTACAATTCTGATACTTATCTCTTATTCAACAAGTATAAATTGAATTTTCCATCTTCTGCCATTACTCAGAAATACTTCTAGGTGTTAGCCAGACAATACTGAACAAGGACAAGCACACTTGCCCCTGGAAGGCTGCGTTCTGTTGCTGCAACATCTGTGTTAGCACTAAAGCCTTTCATCAGCATTTCAATGAAAATTCCTTAATTTTCTGTTCCACTATTATTCTGGGAGAGTTTTTAGTTCATCCCCTACCACTGATACACTCTATCAATTGCAAAATCAACATGGAATAGGCAGAGCTCCCCTTATAGGCAGAGCTCCTGAATCCAGACAGCTTGGCTTCACATTGTCACACCTAGAACAGAAACCCAGAGAAATGCTTTGTATTTAGGAAGATTTGCTGGGCTTGAGATTGAGTCACTATGAGATACCCATGCTTTGCAAAATCAGTTGGTCTGAATACTAATTTGAAGATAGCAAGTGACCCTTGACAAATCTGGAAAAGAAAGGATCTGATAGCTTGATAGGAGTGCCTACATAATGTTAACATACTTATGCAATTGAATAGATTACTTTCCTTATAATTTTATCTGTGATGCTCATTTTCATTAGCAAATGCTGATTTTATGGGTCTAAAGTCAACTCCATGCAGATTTCCTCTGCAGCCAGATCTCCTATACATTTTTTTTTTTCATTAAGAAAGCATGACTTGATGAATTTGCTCAAGTTCAAGTGATGGTTGGTTAAAAGGAGGAGACTGTAGGTTTATTGTGGCGATCTTCATTTTAAATTCCTTGCATTAAATTATGCTGTGCTTTGTATGGATTTACATACTGGAGATCTTCAGGATGCTCATGGAGAAAGCATACTATGAAAAAATAGGCATGAATTTAGAAATGTTTTGCAACAAAATAAACACATTTTAATTTCAACCTTCATTTAATGTTCTTGGAAGCATTTAAAGTATTTGTGTATTCTAAGCCAAAGTAAAATGCAAGAAAAAAAATGAACTTTGCTCTTAGTTATTCAAAGATATGTAAATAGCTTAGAGTGGATTTGTATTTCAAGTTATTAGCAAAGGGAAAAGTTGGTATTGTCAGTGAACCCTGAAGAACTTCTTTTTAGGAAGGGTTCGAGAAATGCAACAAGTTAGAAGGTGAAGCATATGTCTAGAACTGCAGTTTTGGGTTCTATTATATGGTGCTTTAGGAAGATTTTACTGATGCAGTTGGTGCTGCTGAAT